CTGCTTTCATTGTCAAAGTCACAAACCTTGAGTGAGCTCTGCTTGGTTCCCTCCAACTTGATGAAGAGTTGTCTGAAGCCCGGTCATCTGAAAAAATAAAGATTGCAAAATTACTTTACAAAAAAATTTTAAAAACTGTATGCAGTGAAAATGAGGATAATAAAAAAGCTAAAAAAAAAAACTTGACAATATTATATGAGACAACAAAAGTATGCCCTCACTGACCTGTCCAACAGCTCTGTCTCTTTCAAGTTTGGTCAACATCTTCTCCTTCATGGCCACCTGCAGGAAATTGAAAATAAACAAATTAAAAGTAAACTCTGTATGCAGAAGCTCTTTGATTTTCAATGAGGAACTAGTTGTCACGTCTTAAATTAATTCAAACTTTGTGAACACTTTTATGGTTATTAATTTGATTTGTAATTTTTATTACACTGACAGTACCTCATATTTGTGTTTCAGAGTCTGAAGGGTGGGTTCATATGAAGAATAATGCTTCTTGAGTCTAAAATAGAAAACAATGTTCATTTGTTACAGCACTGTAAGTTGTAAACTTACAGTGCAACAATGGTTAACAGACGAGTGCAACAAAGAAGTCAAACTTGCTGCCCTGTGCTGACCATCAAAAAAATATATTTGAGGCAAAACAAAATGGAAGCCCGTCATTAACAGAAGTTTCAAATAACCACAAACATCAGTAGGTAATGGCTAGCGCTTTTAAAACATACAAGTATTTTAGCAAAGCTCAAATCAAAGTGGTCAATCAACTGAATAGCAGTAATTCATTAACTTTGTGTTAAAAAATTCTGTCTCCCTTTTCCATTGATTTTGTTTCTTTTTAAAGCTTTCCAATAATTTTTCATTTTTTGGTAAATTTTAGTGTACATAACAACATTAAGTTCAAATGTTTCCTTTTCATAATTTGCTTTGGAAATATTGGTGCAGAGCTGACCACATCTCAGTACAGCATTCATACAAGCTGATTTCATGTTGGTTTATATAAGTTCATGCACATTCATTAATTAATACAAATTTAAATTATGTACCTTTTAATATCAGTTATAAGTCTGTTCTTTTCTTGAACAACTCTCTTGTGGTGCATCCGATGAAAATCCCGTTCTTTCCTTAACCTGACAAAAGTCTGCTTTGCGTTTCTGTCAAGTAAGTTATATTTTATAAAATTAGCAAGCAAAATAAGTTTTACAAACCTCAGGGCTGTGGTCTAACAGGGCCCGGTGGCCCACAGTGCCTTACGTTTGCTCTTTGGGGATTCGGGAATCTTAGTTTTTTTCATAAAAAGCATATGCTGGGCACCCTGGATTTCACACTTTCAGAGGACTGGGCTCCCTTCAATTTTTCTTAGAGCACAGCCCTGAACCTGTTTTATAAATGTCAAATTACCCTGTAGAGCATTAATTTTATCAGAGGGGCAGGAGATATAAACTTACTCTGCAGCTTCCTTGAATTTATTTACTTCTTGGCGGAGATGAGACACCATGTCATCCAATTGCTGGTTTCTACAGAATAAAAAAAATTGATACTATAATTATAGTACATGCCATTATTTTAAATTTCATTTGTAGCAACTTTATTCTACATGTATCTCATTTGTGCAAGATTCAAAGTAGATTAGTAACGTCAGTTCAGGTGTAAAATAGATTGACTCAGCCTAAGGACATAACAAATATATGAAGAAAAATAAAAGCATGAACATAATTTAGCACTTACTTCATATAAATGTCTGGTACAACTCTCACATCCTCTTCATTAAGCAATCCTTTCTGAAGCAATTCATACCTAAAGGTGTCACAACCAAAGATTTAAATACCCAATCATATTAACTGACTGAAAAAAAAAAATTCTAAACAAGGATTACTGATGAAACTGTCCATGAATAAAAATTCAGCTTACCACTCAGTCTGAAAACAGTCCAGTGTTCTTGTCATTCCCATTTTAACAAGAAAATTCCGTACAAAGTCTTCCACAATCTCAGGTCTCTGGTAATAAGCCAACGAAAAAAAATGTCAATCATACAAGGAAGCTAGTTTTTGCTCTATCTATTACAGGAAACTTCTAGTAATTAGTTAACATAATTGAGGACTACTTACCGTTGTAACTGTAGGTTTTGCTGGCTCAGTCTTTTGCTGTCAATTAAATTAGAGAAAAATAGCATCATATACCAGAGAGTTAAGTTGCAACTAATTCAGTTACAAAACTTTCATAAATGTTCTTTTATACCTGCCAATTTAATGAATATGTATCCTTAAAGGCTACAAGAAGAGATCTTTTCTCTTCAATCCAGGGTTCATTTATTTTTGTGTGCATTCATACCAAAAATGTCTCATGAAAGATTTTTTCACAACAATTCACAGTTTACTTGTAACTCACAACATACCCCCAACAATTCATCACTAGTCTTTTCTTGCACTGTTTTAAAAGCTGTTTCCAAATCCTCATCTCCACCTGTTCAGAGAGGCAAAGTCACCAGAACAGGAAAATTAAAAAATAAGGGTAATTTTCATAAAAGAAATGCAGTGGAGAGAGATTATCATTAGGTAACAGCAGAATGGAATACATCAATCTCTTACATTTTTGATTGACCTAACTTCTAGTCTGTTAAAAACTTTGTATCACTAGCCTTGAATCTTCACTTAAAAACAAGACCGAGAACTCAAGGCTATTCTACGTCCATATCAGTGAATAATGCCTGCCATTAAGAGAGAACTCAGCTAAATGTAGCTTTATGTCCAAATAAAAAATAGCTTAATGGGCCCAAGTTGCAATCTTGCTACAACCAGTTGCAAAATGAGTTCAGACATGTTACTACTACAAGACATAATTGTTCACTAAAATTCCATATGGTAGATTGAGAATTCAGAGTCCCAGCTCCCCTACAGGATGTACACCCTAACAGATATCCCTAAAGCTTTTTAATCTTTTACGGAAATGAGTACTGGTGAGCACTCTAAGCAGATGATAAGAACAAATTAAGAAGTTTCCTTAAGTTTATTAATTTGTGATGTTTACCGGTTACAGAATACTCATCTTCCAATGGAACCTAAAGTAACACAAAATGAGACAATTACAAACAAATGCCAGCACAACATGTAGAATATAAGGGGGATGAAAAAATCCTTTTTTGACCTCATTTAGGATAACAGGTGCAAAAATCAATCTTCACAGGTTAACAGTAGATAATTAAGGTCATTGCAGAAAAGGAAGTCTTATAAATTCTGGCTTTTGAGTATATCCCAGACAGGGCTCAACACTAGCAGTAGCCAACTAGCCAAAGACTGGCAGAAATTCAGTTTTGGCTAATGGTTTTCAAATTCCACTAGCCAGTTTGGCTTGTAAACAAACTGAAATTATGGTAACATCTTGGTTGTCACTAGCCACTTGGCTAGTAAGTTGAAAAGTTAGAGTCAAGCACCTGCCCAGAGACTAGTCGGGGTACCATCAATGGAGAGCGGAAGCCACAAGTTAGGAGCAAAGGAGGTTTTTTGGGTTCTTATTTCCAAGCAATGGAATCTGAATGCAAATGAAATTTGCATCCAACATGTAGCTTTGTAGCTAAGTTGTTCAATGCATTCAGCTAGGCACATGTTTGAACCCCAGCAATGCCTAATTTTCAGACTTCTTTTTCAGAAATAAATATCACAAATCACTTAGTTTAACAATTGGAAAAGAAAACCTAAAAGGTTTGAAAAAATTATGAACCCCAACAAAAGCTTTGAACCACAAGCACTTAACCTCTTCATAGGCAAACTCGTCATCACTGTCTTCTACTACTGTCACCTCTGATTACAACGTTAAAGATTACAATCACTAGCAACTGCAAATTAATAATACACTGTCCTAGCTACAAATTAAAGCTGAGCAAATTTACATGACTGCTTAACATTAGCGACGAATAGTCTGTAGAAAATCAACTTGGCCTAATTATAGCTAACCAGTATTTGCGCTAACGCTTTGCCATGTTTGGTGGGCTCGATATGTACAATTAACGAGTGTGTCCGCATTTTGTTGACAGTTTACGACGATGAGATTCGTCAACTTTGGCATATGGATGAATTTGAATATATGAAAATCACATTTGAGTACTGCGATTCAGTTCATGAAATGTATAAAGGCGATCCTCGCAGTAACGAATCCTACTTGTGCAGCGGTAGAAATAAGGCCAAAAAATATTCAGGCCCATAGGGGATTTGAACCCATGGCCTCTGCGATACCGGTGTAGTGCTATACCAACTGAGCTAACAAGCCAACTGGGAGCTGCACGGTTTTATTACCACTACTAGATAAGTAGGATTCATTACTGCGAGCATCGCTTTCATACATTGGCATAATGCTTCCCGACAATAGCACTCTTGAGTTAGCTTTCATTATACTCCAGTTATAATAGTAAGTTTAACGTATAAAATAGAGCAGAAGAGTACAAGTAAACACAAAGGATACGTTCTAGATAGTAAGCACCTTCTTCGTCCGCCATTTTTGTTTTTTGCAGTTGCTATGGGTGACGTCATTACAAAATCAACTGACCAGCGGTTCCCGTAATCGATATTAATATTGTCGTGCCCGAATCATGAAAAGAGCTGTGAGGAGCTTCCTAAACCAACACTTTTACTAGCACTGACAGTTATGGAAAATAATAACTGGTTTGACCATTATTGTTCCCATTGTTGGTAAAAAAAAAAAAATAAAACCATAAGAATTCGACAGCCTGAACACTATAATCTAGCTTTTCTCTGACAAATGCAAACTTTCCCTGCTCAACTGAATTAACAATGCTATATAATAGTCCAAATAATGGCGTCCAACCTCCCTTCATAACCATCTCCTCCGCCCGTTTAGCTATGCTTAAAAAAAAGTCACATGCAGTGTGCGTGAATTGATTAGTTCATCCATTGACTGTTGTAAATTTTCATACCTTTTATTTGATGAGAAAAAAAAAAAAAGGAAAGATTTCCATGTGGTTCAACGTTTATTGATGTACATCATTACTGCCAAGTATATTTCTACATCGTTTGCATTACTTTGATGATTTCTGCTAATAAAACACATTTTACAAAAAAATTGCAAGGTTTCCATTAAGTTCAAAACTTTTTAAACGTGTATGAATTCTACGACTACCTAGTATGTTTTCACACCATTTACATTTGTTTCAATGAAACTTTCATGCAGTTTTTCAATGAAAGAGTCCTTTTTAATTGGACAATATCTTACATCTTAAATTCAATACTTTTTTAATTGTCAAATCCCAAGCGCAAAAAGTTTGTGCCAAAATAGGCCCTTGTATATTTTGGAATAAAAATAAACGGGAAGGAATTCGTATTTCATCATTTAAAAAATTAATGCCTTTTATCATCAATTATGAGTATTGAGTTTATAGACGTAGCTCCCATTATTATGAAAGAAGTCCATTTTTTATGATCAGTTATTCCCATACCGAGGATATTATTCCTTAGTGAAAGCAGAATTCCTGAGCTAAGTCCTTTCGATCCACAAACTTGTGGCACAATCCTTGGCACAGAAAACAGTAAGTGGCATCTGATGCGTTTTTTTGTTTCCACAACAGCAGCATTCGATAAGCCTTATCAAATAGATCAGGCCATCTTACATCTATGCAATCAAGGTCTTCCTGGCGAAAATGCAATCGGCGTCCAAGCTTCATCCAAAGTTTTGAGATTGAGTTCGACAGCTCCTCGAGATCGTCATCAGACACAACACCTTCTTTCAAAACTTTTCCTAGGAATTAAACATTACACATTTGCTTCACATTGTTACAAAAGATATGTCCGACACTACTACACCAAGACGAGAATTAACCTTTCAAGAGGACGCGACATTTTTTTTTTTTCATTTATTCCTCCTCAATTCTGGGGAACAGGGATGGCGTAGTGGTGAGAGCACTCGCCTTCCATCGCTGTGGCCCGGGTTCGAATTCCGCGTCACATTGGTTCTCGTCCTTACTCCGAAGGTTTTTGTTCGGGTCCTCTGGTTTCCCCCGCCCACCGCAAGAACCAAGATTCCAAATTCAAATTCGATCTGGATACAGTGGACAAGAAGAGCCACCAAGTGGAATGTCCTTTGCTAAATTATTCATCTATTTTATAATTTATTGCTAGTTTTCCTAGATATAATGAGTCTTTTTGCAAGGTATGTCAAAAAAAAGCGCAGAAGAAGGATGCAGTTACTAGAGTTTCACGAGAAAATATTGTCTTACCTGTGGGAGCCACTTCCTCTGGAATAAACGACTCGCTTTCTTGGTCTTTCCCTGTTCCATCGAAATCTGCAAATGAAGAGTGTATAATTGGGTTCTAAGTCAAGCAGGTTGAATGTTGGCTTAACGAGGAAACAATAGAAAGAAAAAACTGCTAAAGAGACAAAATGATTCTTTAAGTTAAGAGTAGAGTGGGGAGGGGCACCCTAACTTCTACTCTCCATATTCGAGCTGGGGCGTTTAAATAAATTTTAGCTGATAAAAGCGGGCCTCAAGGGGAGGCACTGATACGAAGATCTACAGTTTGAACTCAATATCTTACGTAACTGAACCAATGACGTCGTCCTCGATATTAGAATTTTACATTGAGTATAATCCGTAACATCTCGGCCTAAAAATGTTACATCTCTTACCTGTGTGCGAAACTTTAGCGGGAACAACTGATTGCGCAATCGGTAATTTTCGCTTTTTGAAATTATCAGAACTGCACTGCGCCAAAGTAGAGGTCTCTGAGGAACAAAAACCACCATCAGTTCTGGTTAATTCTCACACATTCCTGAGCTAGTCTCTCAGTAAAAGAAAAACATGTGATTCCATGATTTTTTAGCTTATATGGAATTGGGGAGGGGGGCTGCTGTTCATGATTTATACAACAGAAATGTTATTCTTCACAGAAATGGAAAACTTCAAACAAGACATATCAACTAATTTTGACGCGGATTGTAGTTACAATAGATTAGTCGGAGCAAAGCTTTGTTAAGACTTACCCCTATGTTTCTTGCTAATGGTATCATCTAAGACCTGAAACCAAATAAATTACTCATAATATTAGTATTCTCCTAATAATTATAAAGAAGTGATAATGCAACCACCACAAGGACAAAGAAGTTTTCAGACAAAGTCCTGAGAGTCCTGAGATCAACTGGAATACGTGTTGATGAGATACCAAGTCATTTGTTTGTGACCGAACGGGAGGCCTATGTCGCGCTCCGCAGAATCAAGACCCAGAAAGCGCCGAGGCCTAATGACCTGATGGCTTCCTGAGGCTTGCGTATCAAGTTTGTTGATGACTTAACTATCATGGAAATTCTTCCAAGAAATTCTCCTTCTGTGCTTAACTTCCTTGTGAATGACATCCAAAATTTTGCTAACACCAATAACATGCGCCTTAATCCTACTAAATGTAAGTGCATGACTGTTGACTTCCTTCAGTATAATAGTTACAAGGCTCCCCCGGTCGTATCGGGGGGCGCTGTTATAGAAGAGGTCTCGTCGTTCAAGCTCTTAGGCGTCAACTTGTCCAATGACCTTTCCTGGGGGACGCATGTTGACCACCTGCTGAAGAAGGCTAACAGACGGTTGTTTGCTTTAAGGCAGCTCAGGAGAAGTTCTGTCCCAGCGGAAGATATCGTCTACATCTATTGCTGCCTAATACGTTCCATACTTGAGTACGACTCTACTGCATTTGCCAATTTACCGTCCTACTTATCTAAGACCTTAGAGTCAGTGCAGAGGCGTGCTCTCGCCATTATTTGGCCAGGTTATTCGTACTCAGATACACTAATGCTAGCCGGTATTGAAACCCTTGATGTACGCCGTAGTGCTGCCTGTGAATCCTTTATAAGTCGTATTCATAATGACAACCCCTTTTAAACTGCAATGTATGCCGACGTTCGTAAATCTTCAGACCGCTACAATTTAAGAACAAATCGTACTCACTATCACTCAAAAAAGTCCACCGATCGTTTTAAGAACTTTGTGACAGTCAAGTACTTGCCAATTTAATCATACTCGTTTTTTWTATAATAAACATTATTATCATTTTAGTATTATTATCATTATGTACATGCTGTTTTTACTTCTATGTAGTTTAATGCACTTTGTACAGTTTTTCCCCTTTTTTCTCCTATAATTCTTGTTAATATAATTTATAAACCTGTAATTCAGCATTCTCTGCAAGAGGTTTGAATAAACGTCATTATTATTATTATTATTATTTTTATTATTATTATTAAAATTATTATAATGTCAAGTGGGAGGCAAAAGGTAAGTTCTTCAATATGTTTAAGTTATCATTTTCCAGTCTTTACGCCACCCAGTGCCAAACCTGATTCCAACCCCTTAGAACGTTAAATAGAACGAACGTCTGAACACAAGGAACTTGAATTTGCTTACCTGACTCCAAGTCTTGGGTGGACATAACTTTGGACCCCTCAGTGTACGAGAGCAAAGGACAGGTTTCTTTGTCAAGGAAACGTAATGTGCACAATCATCGTGGCAACATCCTGCTTCCGCATGCCAATAACACTCTCCGGTTTCACGAACAAACTGGGGTGGACACAAACTGCATCTAGCGCAGAGATCCCAGGATACTGTTTGCAGCCAGTGACACTCTTCGTGCAGTCTCTTCAAACTAGACTTCAAAAAGCTGAAAGGGAGGGAAATACTTTTAACTATCTAAGATATCTATTCTCACATAATCTTTCACGTGGACATCTTATATACGGAAGGTATCTAATGTACACCTGGGAGAAATAGAGTAAAGGCTGATAGTTTCTAAAGAAACTGTTTGGGGCTGCGTCGGTGGGGGTAACGAAATAATTTGAATATATCAACAAAGTTGAAATGGTAAATTGGCCACCGTAACGATTACAAAAGCTGACGTTTCGAGCGTTAGAAATAGAGGACGCCTAATCCTACTTTAAAACAACATTGTAACTATGACATGAAACACACTGTCAAGGGCCTAACAGAGTTATGGACAAAACAAACTTGTCGAATCAATTAATAGTTCCCAAAAACACACTTCCGAACTGGTAATTCATGTAAAAGTTACCACCCGAAAAAAGAATGACTCATTCACATGCACGTACCTTATGACCTCTGAGCAAACGCCAGGTTCGGTCACAACAGGGTTCATACTTGGATCAGTGTGGTTCCAAACGTGTACTTTGATCACACGCTTGTGGCAAACAAGATCAAGTACAGTGTGATCTCCCATAAAGAATCGGGCGAAGTTGGCCCAGAGCTTTGGTTGATCACAGGTCATTCGTCTTTGAACAAATTCCAGGAAAAGGACAACCATTCTTGAAAAGAGACCACCTGGTACATACTGAGTGGTGAATGTGACATAAACGGGTGTAGGGCCTGGGTTAACAGAAACGTACGGCATCAATCCATCGGGCGGTTGGGAGGTCAACATGCACGGAACAAGATACACGGATTTACCATCTTTTCCTGTATATTCACAAAGAAGGTTGAACTTCTTCATGAGGAAAAGCAGAGACTCCTTAATGTCTTCAACGCCCAGTTTTGTGTAAGAGTAATCAAGCAGTTTGGCATTTAGAATGCCATACTTGCCAAGATCCTTACGTAGGTTTGAAATGGGAGTTTTCTCTTCCTTCTGTTTTTCAACTGTTATAATCTGACACAAAACATCAACTAGCCACTTTGGATTCAAAACAACTAAACTGCTTGGATTATCAGCCCTTCCATGATAAACCACCGTTCCACGATCATGCAAAAAGTATAAAAGTACTTCATAATCACCTTCGACCTCAAATTTGCAAATTTCGTCACAGATGTTCCTTCGGAAGTCTTGCCTTGTGACATAATTTGTCCCCTTCCTTGCTAGATTAGAAACTTCTTGTTCCACTTGAAGCCACTTCAAAGGAACCTCAACTTTTGTGTGTGGCATGGTATCTCCAACCTTCAGAATTTGTTTCCGCAAGGCAACAACTTGGGGATCTTCTTCCCCGAGTTCCTTACCAGCTAGAGTGTTATTCACTGCAAATGTTTTCTCGATTATGTGTTCGCTGAATTCTCTTGCTGTGTCACAAATAATGTCCTTTACATCCGTAATCATCATTCCGGGGTCTCCTTGTACAAGGTCGGCATGTGTTCCAACCAAAATGACAGGTGGTAATACCTCGCCATTCTCCTCGTATTTGAAGGAATTCACCATGTCCATCCACCTCATAATGTGATCTAGGTTTGTGTCATTGCTGTCAGGAGAAGGAATCTTAACTACGTCGTAACCAGGCTCTTTCACGAGACATTGGGCTAGGGCAGAAAGGTCTTTGGTAAGATCAACTACTAGCATGTAAACTGCTTCACGCGAGACAAGAATAGGATGAATAGCACGGTAAATGGCTTGACCACCAAAATCCATGCAAACTGGCCAAACGCCGTCATCCTTCTCTAGCCCTTTCCTCGAGAGGTTTTCTGCTGTAAGTCGCACCACCTCATCGGGCATATCATTCTTTCGCTTCTCATTAGGCCCGTTGTTCTCTTGTCTTGTCGAAGAAGTTTCATCTGAATTCAACTGAGTCCCAGGCTCTATGTCTGGTGAGGATCCATGGTATGGCCCCTGTACAAACTGTAACACACAAAATTCAGGTTTCACTATTTTTTAATTGAAAATAGAGCTAATGGTACCGTGATCTTGCTTCCCTAAATCGAACCCAAAACAGATACAAGTCAGTTCAATTAACAAAGCTGGAATAGAAGTACGGTAGGCCATTAATAAACAGCTTTGATATCATCTTTGAAATATAAATGAACAACAGGATGTATTGACAACCTTTGGTACACTCTCTGGTCCAACCTCAGGTCCACAAAATTCATCATTGAAGAACTCTGAAAGAAAGTAAGTTTTGATTAACTTCACTCAACCAGGTAACATTTCACTGTTGCTATTGTTGCCGTTGCTGATTTTGGTTCCTTTTAGCGTTTGCTTTACTTTGTATGCTTGTTTTTCAAGTTTAAAAAGGTGGGATTATAATTTTGCGTTTATAGTAAAGTAATAGAATACTCTAAAAATTTCAGATGGTTTCGCCGTTTACCTCGTTACGATTAAGTCGTACGCTTAATCATGCCGACTGACTTACAAATAACATAATTATGATGCAGTCATAAAATGTTCTAGAAGCATATCTACATAAGTAAAGCTCGTATGGTGTCACTCGATAAGCCGTCAACAAAGCTGTGTTGCAGACCTACCGAGATAACGGGTTAAATTAAAATTAAAAAACCCATCTGCAAACTCGTCTTTACTTGTATGAAATTCATCAATCGGGGCGAGGTGTTGAATTTTAAAACTGCAATAACAAGCTATGTCCTACCCCAACCCCTTTCAGTCTTAAGTAAGCAGCAACATGAAAAGGTAATGTGTCATGCAACCTCAGCTATTTGCTGGCGTTAAGTTTTTCAACAACACAGAAATCAAAACAACATTTTGTTATGAGGAACATACCCTGGTTTGATCCAATTTCACCGATCATACCCTCTGTTCTCTGTGTCTCACCAGTCTCTGTTTGCTTCGAAAATTCGCTTTCCAGGTAAATTGAGTTGGTTGCTTCAGTTTGTAACTGATTACTGATATTTAGTGCACATTTGTAATGGAATGCACTTCTTTCTTGTTCCTCTTTGGAATTCTTCCATGGTTTTTCACCGACACGTTTTAATGGCATGTCTAGTTGCATCCCCTCTGTGCTCGATTCATCTTGTCGGAATAGTTCACCTTTTAAAGAACGTGCGACACTAGTTTTGCCAACTCGGTCTTGGCCAATCAACAATACTTTAACCCGTTTATCGAATGCCTTTCCCGTTTCAAGAGCTCTCTGGTAAGCGGCCTTCGCAATGGTTCCCCTGGCCAAGATATAAGGCGGGACTGATTGCACGGTTTGAAACTTGCTCAAAGCAGGGACATCAGCTCTTACAGTCGTTATATTTTTGTGAAGAATGGTTTGCGCTCGTTCATTCCAATCCTCTACCTGCCCAAGGCTACCTGTGACATCAGGGAGAAGCTTCTTCAAATCTATAGCCAGCGCACGATCATGATATTCTTTTGCTTGCTGAAATTCAACTAGGGCACTACATGTGGTTCCCAGATTACTGTAAATGCTTACCGCGTCAACATGCACAGGTCCAAGCTTCTTAATAAAAATACCCTGCGCACGATCGTCATAATCCATTGCTTGCTGAAATTCACCAAGGGCGCTACATGTGGTTCCCAGATTAAAGTAAATGCTTGCCACGTTAACATGCTCAGGTCCAAGCTTCTTCAAACCAATACCCAGCGCACGATCATAATATTCCTTTGCTTGCTGAAATTCACCAATGTCTCTACTTATGGCTCCCAGAGCACTGTAAATGTTTGCCAACCTGACATGTTCAGGTCCAAGCTTCTTCAAAACAATAGCCAGCGCATGATCATAATATTCTTTTGCTTGCTGAAATTCACCAAGGTCACTACAGCTGGCTCCCAGAGCACTGTAAATGCTTGCCAAGCTGACATGTTCAGGTCCAAGCTTCTTCAAACCAATAGCCAGCGCATGATCATAATATTCTTTTGCTTGCTGAAATTCACCAAGGTCACTACAGCTGGCTCCCAGAGCACTGTAAATGCTTGCCAAGCTGACATGTTCAG